CAACAAGCTACACGCGGAGCGCCCCTGGAATTCATCGACTCCATCTCGCACGCACTATTCGAGACACTCACGGAAGACGATGCGAAGCAATATGGCCACGAGATTACCGAACTTGAGAAGAAGGGCCAAGAATTGGCGCACCTCATAAAGAACTCCACTCGTATCATTCAAGGCAAGATCAATAGGGACATTCAGCAGATTGCCAACGTTACTCTCGATATCCAAAACACCTTACGCTGGAAGCTTCAACACATCCATCGCCTCAATTACACCATGCATCTCACTAGTTTATCGAACAACATGATTGACGCTGCCGATGCCTACATCGATACCTTGCAACGCTTCGTGGACGCCATTCGCTATGCACAACTCGGAATTCTGCATCCAGATTTACTCTCTGTCGAGCAACTTACCACTGCAGCTCACCATGTAAGAAAATCTACAGCGTCTCTTGAGTTTCATGTTACGATGACTGACCTGCAAGCGACAGATCTCTGAACTATCAGTCACATCACTACGAAGTATCAGGAGGTTCGTCTACTGGTAAGTATCATCTTGCCCTTACTGGAAGCAAAACCTTTCCAACTATACAGGCTTTACCCATGCCTTCAGCCCCAGAACTTTACCGGAACGACCAAGGGCACGGCCTACATCCAGCCTAAGCAACCATATATGGCCTGGTCTAACGAGCAAGGGAAGTACTTCACTTTTGATGAACCATACTTGAAGAAGTATTACCACCTTCCAAGCAGCTACGCATGCCCATTGCACATGGCACTGAAAGACGTCCCTGATAACGATTCTTGCGAAGCACGCCTGCTCGTCTCGCCGAATGGCGATACTCTACGCAGGTATGATATCAGTGTTCTGGAGAACACTTATGGATGGCTTTACTCGCTCGAAACGTCCGACAGCCTACGCATTCAATGTCGCGACGGCAGTGCAACCACAGTCACCGTTGAAGGGACCGGAGTCCTCCAGCTGAATCCAGGATGCACATGCTACTTCTTCACCATCACACTCCCACCATCCAGCATGATTCCACCATCGATTGACCGAGTTCACCAGCCACCCGCCATTCTCAACATCAGCAAACTGTCACTCCCGATAGCCGAGACATACGGCAAGAAGCTCGACCCCTTGGTCATCGCGGCACGGCTACCCTCTATAGGGGGATAATTACAGCAGGCAGACGTAAGCTTGGACGCCCTCGAAACTCATCTGGACCAATTAACCAAGGAACAAAAGTCAATAATATGGTATCACCGCACGGGAACCTAGGCATATAGCGGCATTGGCATATCACTGGCAACGGTAGCAAGACTGGTGCTATACGCACTTCAGGGCAGTATACCAGGACTGCTCCTGAGCTGCTGCAGGCGCCGCAGAACACGCCGAGAACCCGTCATCAGGCCGAGGCAGAATAACATCAGTTTCCCAATGGACATCCGAAACCCCTCTAACTTCCCATAGAACCCAGCCGAATTGCACCCGCCATCCCAGCGCAGCCCCCACATGACCCTGTATGCGCTGTAACACTTGTCACGTAAGATATAAGGTGAAAGCGCCTCACCAGCGACTCAGCAATATCGATAATTTTTCTCGCCCTTTTTTCGGTCTTATTGTCCCTCCACTATCGTTGTTGAACCGCGTATATTACATCAGCGAGCTTCAATCTAACAAGGGTAGTGTTATATCCAAAAGTAGATCTACTTAAGTAAATGCAACCCGCAAATTCATTTCGGCGCATCGAACTTTGCAATTGCCTCATGTAAATCTTAGAACGCTGAGTAGCAGGCCACGCGCTCACACCACATGCCAGCGCGAGGTATGAAGCAAGACTCTTGCTTTGTAAGTTTATCAATATTGCAATGCATTGTCCCCAAAATCGGAGCTAATGCACCTACGATATACAGAACCGATCATCAGTCTTTCGTGAATCTTGGCAACCAATGGAACTCCTCGAGGGTCCACAATCGAAATCATCGAGTCTTGCTTGTTCCTCCGCTGGTAGTATTTTACGTGTCTTCGGATCCTTGTGACCAAGTCTTCCCACCCGAGAGCCAGGGAAGTCACCACGGTGAGCGTGTTTATAAATCTATCGTGAGTGCAACGGCAGATAACGGAGTGCCACAGAAAGAACTCGCAGTGAAGTGCAATACCAACTCTTTCAACCTTGTCAACAATTGTAAGTTAACTTATCTTACTTATAATAAATAATCAACCTGTATACCAAAACTTCGCCCTCACTCGTCAGCATTACACCCACCAATTCCACAGGAAACAGATACGCCTGGCGTTTTAATGGTAGACCACGTTAAGATATATCTACGCCCTAGCAGCTTCACTAGTTAAGGCTTAACAACTGCATATGAAATCAACAATAAAGAACCGCAACATCAGTGGTGTCCAGAGGGAGCTGAATCGTGGTGTCCGTATCAAAAAGCTCACACAGCCAATGATCTAAAAAACTATCGTTACAAATCTCCTCTTCATCCAAATATTGTGGCAGCTATTAAACCAATTTATCGAGATCTAAGTGACAATAAATTATTGAAACGGTGGAGTATTCACACTAAACTCTAACGAAAGTTTCAATAATTTGATTTAAAGTATCGCACCAAAACACTTGAACGCCGGACCAAGTATCATAAATATTGCTGCCAATACTACCGTATATATTTTCAATGAAGGTGCAAAATCCCTGCTTCGAATCATGGATGAATTGAATATACGTGTTGGCAGAAACGTTGATCGCTATTGCGATGAGATTGATATGGAGCGTATATCCACGGCGGAGATACGAGCGCAACAAGCAACGCGTGAGGGAAGAATAGCTCGCAGGTAGGCCCATATTGCAGAGGAAGATGCTAATATTGCTACTGAAGAAATGTTATATGGCCCCGGAATAAATGACTGAGGGCAAAGGAAAAATATCCGATTTCAAATGAAAGATAATCATTTGATACAAGCTTTACACTTACGTAAATTTTGAACGCGTTTTACTCGAAATGCTGTTTTCAAAGTCTGTGTCCATTATATTTTTTACACAGTTAGTCCGATTGAGATAAAATTTTCAGAGAATCATCTTCAATGCTTTAACCAGTCGTTGACAAAATTACTTTTTGGAATTTTCATCAGCGTCTTAAAATTAAACATTTTTTTAAATTACCTTCAATCTGCGATTCTTTAACCGTGCATGAGATCTTCTATTGTTGCCGCGATGTCCTCCGCCTCCTTTTGAGCAGCTCTTTTCAATGTCCTGGCCTCTTTAGTCTCCTGTTGGGCTCTCATGTTGGCTATTGTTATTCGTTGAGAAGCCAAGTTTTTAGTAAATCACAGCGCGCTTGGGCCAATTACAAGGTTTAATAATTGCATCATATGTAATACACAAGTATATCCATCATTAAATATATTAGCTGCAATATAAGATGCAATCTCAACAATGTGCTATTGTAATGCACTTTTGGAACCATAGACCAAATGACAGCATTTAGACTTTCGTTGTTATTTTGAATGTATCCTTCTAAACAGGGTTCTAATAAATCGGTATCAGTTAATCTATCGTATACCGGTTTAATTACTTTTGGGGCAACTACAGGAATTAAATTTTTATGCTTATAAGAATCCAAAGGTCCAGAGGCCTTCGCTTTCTGATACGAACACCAGGTACCTTCGCCGAATGGGCATTTGTCATGCTGTGGCTTTTCACTTCTAATTGCTATAACTTCGGTAATAATTTGAATTTTGGAATGAATAAACGCTTCAAATATTTTTAATAAACAATTTATCTAGCCAAACAAAATTCATTTTTTGAAAATCTCAAGGTGATGTAACCCCTTAACTGGAAAAAATTAATCAAGATGCATTGGAGGTATAATCGCTCCAACCTTGATGCTTTGCTCCAATAATATTCGCGATTATTTGTTTACGTTAACAATTTTTTGGCACTATTCGGCAAGCGGCTGGTACAAATGACCACCCTGCTATGCAGACATTTCTTTAATTATACAAGCTCCTCTCAAGTTACAATATCTTGACACCTCCAGAGTTCGGAAATTGCACAGTTACTGAGCAAAAAACTCCAAACTTTATAGTCACTGTTTCTGATTTGAAAAATATCTACAAGTCGGAGAAAGTTAATAAGATCACGAAGATTAAGGCAAATATTAATTTGCTGATCCAACGAAAAGAATGGGAAGAAGTCCGAATTAGCGATCACGATTACGCCCTTGCACCAGTTGCCGATTATTTTGTATACTATGTGATAGGTTCACACTTCACAGTAGTTATATATATTTATGAAAATTGGTACTTGGTAAAAGATTTCTTCCCAGTGGTTTCTAATGGATGCACTAAACATTGCTCATCTAATTTAATAATCTCTTTGTATCAATGCCACCAAAGGATAAAGTAGTATTACAATTGATGCTACAATTATCTATAACTAGTTTTTGTCGTTTCCGAATTTTAGGTTACGCGTGCAAGCAAAGTTTGAAATACAGCAAGTGTGACGTTTGCAAAAATGCTATAAAAAATCCTGTATCCTATACTCAAGATCCAAGCGCAGATATACTCAATTTAAAGTCTCATGGAAGGTTTTTTCACCCCAATGAAGCGCTTTTTAAAATGTTACAAATTTTGAAATCATGTTATAAGCAAATTTTTGATTTTTCTTATGTTTATAATTGTACAATTTATTAATGATATGTTAAGTTCACATCACTTCTCTTTCCCTTGCACAAAGGAACATGGTAATAATTTTCTCGCATACACCATGCATAATTATTTAAGAATGCGCATGCGTCAATACTCTCACCAGATCACGAATGCTAAACACGAAAAAAAAAGTATTGCAAAGAGGAAACTAGCCAAGTCCTATAAACTTTAAATAATGAATAAAGCATTTATATATTTTTTTCAAGAACACTCTCTCATTCTATTTATTTTTAGACTTGAATTTGTCATTAAGTGCAATAACAAGTTTTTGAATGTTACAGGAAGACGATAAAATTTTATAAATAGTTCACGACAGCTTGTGATCCAAATTGGTTCTCGCTTCATATATTTTATAGATCAAAAGAAGTAACAGCGTCTCGAAATCAAGAAATTACATATTATAGTACACAATTTGTATATTCTTTCGTACCTCTTTTATAGCGATTAATGGGTGCGTTCCGCCGACACAACCGGTGAGTAACCGGTGAGACAACAGTTGCGAGTAACCAATGATCAGTAATCAGTGTCTGCTGAACGACATTTGTGTATATCCGGCGGGAATATACAAAAAATGGATCCAGCATTATTAATTGCTTTGGATAGTGGGTTCGATTGCAATTTAATCAGAACATTAATAGATGATTTGACAGAACCTATTAATAATGATTCAATAATAAGAGAACGCGACGTTAGAGCCAACAATGAAAATTATGCAGCGATTATAGTTCCTCTGTATACTAATAATTTGTTTAAAGAACATTTTCGAATGTCACGCATAAGTTTTGAAGTAAGTATACATTTTTGAATCGAGTGATAGTTTTAAAATGCACAAAATAAAATATATAATCTATAAAATTTTTGAATTATAGATATTAATAAACACTATTGGAAACAACATGTTGGGTGGTCAAAACACCCCAAACGATTTAAGTAAGAAAATTATGTTCAGTGTGTGGATCTTAGCAAAAAGCTTCTTATCTGTTGGGGACAGGCTTGGGATTGCTAAAAGTATCGGGCACACAGTATTTCGGGAAATCACTGACGTACTAACAAATTTGTTATCAGAATATGTTAAATGGCCAACTCCTGAAACATATAATGAAATATCCCATGTATGTTTATAATAGTTATATAATATTTTATATTATTAAATTTATAAAATTTCTCAGATATAATATATCAATTGCAGGTTTTTGAAAAACGTTCACATGGTTTCCCCGATGTAGTAGGGGCGATTGATGGGTGTCACATACCCTGTAAACAACCTATACATAATGCAAATGATTATTATAACCGGAAAGGTTTCCATTCAATAATATTACAAGGTATGTATAAATGAAATATTTATAACGAGTAATAGTTTATTCATATTTTTTATTTCTTTTATATAGCGGTATGTAACGACAAAGCAAGATTTACAGATGTTTTCATTGGACTACCTGAGCGCATGCATGATGCCAGAGTATTTCGTAATAGTCCTTTATATAATGACATGACAAATAACAGAAATTCTCTGTTACCACCAAGTTACCATATACTTGGGGACTCTGCATATCCGCTGTTACGTATATCGACCTTCATTCCGAAACAGAAGAATAACGTAGCCGACAGGACACATAATTGCAGACTCAGCACGTTACCCAGTGCATTGCCGTGCCACCTACCCAGCTGGTTAGCCGAGTGCATTCCTAACGTCCTAACCGTACCTAGAGCATCAGCAAAAATCGACTATATAAGCAGCCAAAATCATAGCACTGACGCTCAGAAAATCATTCAGTTTCACGCGTAAAATATCGGACTGTACGTTGTCGGTGCACTCGTGGCTCTAACCGTTAGAGTATTAGATTCAGTGTAATATTTGCAATCTGGCCTAGGTACGGATTCGTTATTACATACCCTAGGGAACAAGCTGGATCGGTTACCGGGCAAAATTGAGCTGCATACACTAGTCTTTCCATGTAACGCATATATTAGACAATTTTCTGTCCCAAATTTCTTTTGCCTTAACCTCACATACAGTCAGATTTTGTGATTCAATATCACGATCTCTATCCTCATTTCTCATAACTCAAATACTGTGAATAACAATAATTTGTTAAAACTTATTGATTTATTTGTAACAATATATCGCAAAAATCAAATTTCCTCGCGTATTACATATCTATTAAATCTCTCCACGTTAGAATAGCAAGGAGTGTTTCAACACCTTAAACGAGCAGCGAACCCACTATTGAGTCTATTCTTACCACTCGGAATTCACTGAAATTTTATTCATGTTACCTCTGGTCGTTCCTTTTCTTTTGGTTACTTCTAAATTTTCGTTATCAAATGTAAAGGCCTCGCTAGCCATTACGGCCTACGTAACAAGACCGTGGATGGAACATGCGGTATATTAAAAAAAAAAAAAAAAACGAATGCACCATTTACACAATAGACACATTCACTATGTTAAAAATTAATAATTTAAAAACTAGCCGACGAGATTCCAAACACAATATTTCAATTGCGCACTTTAAAAATCCAAATAGTATTCAATTTTGATAAATATATCTTATCTCACGCCTAGATTTTTGGAATGAAGAGATGGCTAGTTCCAGATTCAATGAGGCTGATATTGAGGTTCGGCATTTACAGTTTGAATCCGACTGCTAATAGACTCATACCAATCGTTCTTCCATACGTATCCTGCTGCCAATTTTTCGCCTGTTTAGATAATCACAATTTACAATAACGCGTGTGTCCTGTTGGCCGTCCAAAGCGAAAAAGGAACGATCGACATGTGTATCGCCAGGATATCACGTTACAGCTAGTGGTAGGGATAATCCTTAGTGTCACGAAATATCTATTAAGGAGTAGAAAAACCAATGTCTGTACTACCAGCTTAGTACCTGTTACACAGTGGTTCTCAAATTTCGAGGTAACATAGATAGAAACTTTTGCTTTTATATATTTTTAATTTGAAATAGAGAAATGTATAGAAAACAGATGTATAGATATAGATGCTAACAAAACTATATAATCTTATCTTATCAATCGTTGCTGTGTTTCTTTATTATATGCATTCATTTTAACTTTTCCTTTTCTTACACAGAGAACTAGCATATCAAAAAATACGTATAAGCTACTTCTTATCATATTTTTATATCGTAGTTTTATAATTACTTATAGTTTTTTTATTTTTAATAGAAGCTATATGTAGTTATGTGGTATATCAACGGCGATTACACCTCCCTGACTTCGTCCAATGCTCATATAGGTTGGATAAATAATCCACGCACGTTTTTTAGGATTGTACACACATATCGACCTGAGATCTACAGTACCATCACTACCTCCTACCACGTACAGCTCCTCATTAAGGCACACCACACCTATGATAAATTGCATAAAAAAATATCCTTGGTTTCATGAGTATAATAACAGTGTAGGTATAAACAAAATCTGTTATATCCACCAGCATGATGTCGAGGCCCAGGCATTTCTTCAATAAATGTCCAAATGTTTGTATTTGGATCAAAGACTTCAACACTTTTTAAAACATTCGTAATCGCTACAGCTCCACCAACGACATATAAAATTCCCTTCAGAACACCTGCGCTTGCAGTTTGTCTGCGAATATTCAAATCCGCAACAAATATCCATTGCCCTGTTTCCGGATTATAGCATTCTACGCTAGATAAAGGCAGCTTATCTTTCCCTGCAAAACCTCCAATCTAGAACAGTGAAAGCAACCGTAAATAATCTTTGATATTGTAAAATTCATAATTATTTATATGGTTGTTACACTTTATGCTTACAACGTATATGCGGCCGTTCAGTACAGCCACTGTGAAGAAGCTACGAGCTACATTCATTGGTGGTATTATTGTCCACTTGCATGTTTTTGGATTATAGACTTCAGCTGAACTATAAATTGTCTTTTGGTCCCGACCACCGATCTAAAGAATATTTCTCAGTATAATTTGCAAATTTTGTAAACTTTAATGTATTTGAAATATACGAAAGTTAGGAAGAATGAGTTTCATAGTACAATGTAAGACCATACAGCATAAATGCAATCATCCAGTGTTACAACGCCGAAGTTCATTCGTTTAATTTTCATTCCTGTACAAGCAGACCAATGATCGGCGGAGACATCGTAAACATGCATGGTTCTTAGCGGTGCTTCAGTTAAATTACAACCACCTACTGCGTATATCTTACCCTCAAGAACGGTTACACCTGGACAAAAATAGTAAAATATTTAAACATTCAATAACCATTCAATAACCCAAGGCATATACCTTGGCCCAACGAACACAGTATTGCATGTAACACACACGTTTATCGTACATTGTACACACGTATTATTGTATTTGCTGAGATGCCTGCATGCGAAATTCTGAGATAACTGAAGAATCGATTGATTTAACCGTTACTGCGTAATTTTGGTTTTGAGACCAGCAATGTGAACTTGGCACCCGACTTTGGAAAATCAAATTTTTTGTATAGACTTATAGATTTAGGTATGTAGTTGTTTTTAGTACCAAATTTTTCGTTTGTAGTAGACCCAAAAAAAAGTTATAGCATCAGAAAAAAAGCCCATCCACCGGCTTTGAAAAAAATAAAATCTAATCACTGATTCCTACAGAGAATCGTTTGTAGTTGATTGTAATAAAAGAATTTCCGTTTGTAGTAGCATAGAAAAAAAGTTAGAATTTTTTTTTTTTCAAGTTGTTTGTAGTCATATATAGTTACATTCATTTCCACTGTAGTTTTTCGGAAATTCACGTGTAATAGATATACTACGAGCATTTGCTCTGACATCGTTTACATATTGTTTCTAGCAGCATTTATTTTGTTATTAGCTTTTCGAAAACTAATGGGGAGTTAATATACTGCGAATTCTATCTCAAAGATCATTTCTAGTTGTTTGTAGTAACATCTATTTCGTTTGTAGTCGTTTGTAGTAGCTTCGTTTCGTTTGTAGTAACATTTATTTCGTTTGTAATTGTTTGTAGTAACGTCTATTTTGTTTATACACGTAGTAGCTTCAAAATGTACGAAATAAATGCTACTACAATCGAAAGAAAGCTACTACAAACAACTACAAACGAAACAAGGCTACTACAAACGAAATAAATGTTACTACAATCAACTAGAAATGATCTTTGAGACAGAATTCGCAGTATATTAACTCCCCATTAGTTTTCGAAAAGCTAATAACAAAATAAATGCTGCTAGAAACAATATGTAAACGATGTCAGAGCAAATGCTCGTAGTATATCTATTACACGTGAATTTCCGAAAAACTACAGTGGAAATGAATGTAACTATATATGACTACAAACAACTTAAAAAAGAAAAAAAAATTCTAACTTTTTTTTCTATGCTACTATAAATGGAAATTCTTTCACTACAATCAACTACAAACGATTCCCTGTAGGAATCAGTGATTAGATTTTATTTTTTTCAAAGTCGGTGGATGGGCTTTTTTAATGATGCTACGACTTTTTTTGGATCTACTATAAACGAAAAAAGTGGTACTACAAACAACTACATACCTAAATCTATAAGTCTATAAAAAAAATTTTGATTTTCCAAAGTCGGGTGCCAAGTTCACATAGCTTTTGAGACCCTCTAACCGTACACGCGGTTCAATTGTATCCGGCGCGATTTTTAATGAGTAAAAGATTTTAAAAAATTGAGTTAAATTAAGACTAGAATGATAGATTGGAAAAACAATGTGCTAAAATATATTGTTATTCGAATGTATAAAATAAAACACGTAAAGTGAACTGTTATTGGAAAAAATGATGTATTGATGATAAAAAATCATAAGTTTATTATAAAAAAAAAAAACTGAAAATTAAAGTTGTGTGACGTGATTTTTCGATTCACAGTCACAAGGCGACTCCGGCTATCGATTCAGATAACATTCTCGGCTTACTGGTTCCCTTCGAGTCGTCACCCTGCTCAGAAGCTACGTTCTCGGGTTTATTCGTTTTCGTAACAAATTTTGTTTGTTTCGCGTTCAAAAAACGACTGACGCGGGAAATTGACCCTTTGTCGTTTATTTCACCTACCCAACAATTTTTTTAGAAAAGAAAGCGGCAATACCACGATTATTTTTAGACCTATTCATGGAGTTAAAAATTGTGCAGACACGTATGGCCCAAGAGTACGAAGTAAGGCTTAAACATTTATAGGAGAAATGAAATTCCGAACGTATAGTCAGTCCACTAGTTCAATGTGTTTTTTTTCGACAGGTCTAAATCAAAGTCACATGTGGCTTGCCGTAAAATCACTCAAATAAATGTTCAAGGGAAAATATATTGCAGTGCAAAATGGTGCACCTACATACGTTCTAATGTCATTTTTATACAAAGTCATATCTGGCTCCTTGAAAATATCATCGTTTTTAACTAGTCAAAAAATACATTGAACTCATGAATTAATTATAGATCAGACATTAACATTTTCAGACACTTCGTACTTGTAGCTTCAATTCAGTGCATACAGAAAATATTTTGCGACAGCGAATGCATAAGATACAACCGATCATACACGCATTACTCAAGAAAAGTCTGTGCATTTGTTTTCATTAGCTTGCATGCGAGTACACAAGGCCCCAAATTAGCAGTTAAATCATGAACCAGAATGTATATTGCAAAGTGTAATTCGAAAACAGTGCATTAAAAACCTATAATTATTCTGCTTCATCATTTCCATTAGGCAGAAACAAATCAACCAATTTCAAACGTTGAAAATATGTTCGAGTTTTTGCCAAAACTTCGATATTAATGATGAAATAATGTCTGGTTTCTACATAATATGAACATAATAAGTGTCTGAACAGACCATCAGGGATATTTATGTGTACACAAGCATATACAAATTTTTGTTTACTTTCGCATTCAAACATCATATATATTGAAACGGATTTTTAAAACAACTCATCAATGTCAAATACAAATATAATGTATATTTTTTCTTTAAAACGATAATAATGATTACGCACCACTGTTGCAGAATCCTTTTTGAAAGTTCACAGCTTTATGCCACAACTTTGTTCGAAAGTCAAAGTACTCTACACCATTAATCGTTTTTATATTTCTACCCCCTATTATTATTAGTAACTTTGGCAATTCGTGAGGTTCTCTAGGCCTTATCCCTGGTATTTTAGACGAGAACTGTCCTGCTCTTTTGAGTAAATGATAACCCATAGCTTCTATTAAATAGTCTTTACCTATAAGGTAAAACATTTAATTATATAATTTTTCTGTTTTCCAGAATCCCTGTACATGAGATGGTCGTTATTCATACGCTTGCTTACATTGAGAATTAGCTTTGAAAATTGGTTCTTCCCAGACATTTTCTATTAGATACATTTTAGGAATTAACGGAAGGCGAACCTGTTTCATTAATTCTGCAAAATACTGCAGTCTTTCCTTTTGTTTATATTTAACCCAAGATATTACAGATTCAAATACGATTTCTTCAGATGGCACTGCCAGATGATCATTAGAAATAAGTTCCATTAATTCTTGTGATGACAATTTCGAAAACGTTTCATTTTTCACAATCTTTCTCCAAGAAATGCCATCCATGTACTTATTTTAATTAATACAGATACCCTATGAAAATGGTCAAACCATAAAAACAATTCCACATTCAAGAATCCCACTGTTACATAGTTTTCAACATAACACAGTTGTCTGAATGTACAACTGATCTCATGACTCATTTACAGTTCTGATTCTTACAAGAAATGATGCTCCATGTAACCATTCGTTTGACCGAGGAAATCAACACATCCATATCGATTAACAAGTGCACGGATTTCAAAACAATTTGAGGGATTCAATTGTGTACAGAGAAAATCACCGCAAATATAAATGGCAATTTCAGCTTGTAAAGAACTTGCAGCGGCTAATAAAGGCCGCACGTTATTTTCATTTACATGAATCATATTACCATACATAAATTGAACAAGATCGTTCAGAACAGTGTGATCTATATCATGCAGTGCAACACAGACTGGCCCACGAGCCTTGAACTTCTCCAACAACTCACGGAAAATTAAACTGCTCGCTGCCAAGACCATTTTATTTGCTGGTACTGCTAAATCAACATCAGCCACCAAGATTACATCCCTAAAAATATTTATCTTACATAATATTTCAAACATAATATTTCCTAAAATTTTTATTATACAAAACATCAATGCTTCTGTTTAAAGGAACTTATTGGTCTTCTTTGTCATTAAATATATGTTTATTATAAATTTTTAAATATCATATTTTAATAGTTGCATGCAGCATAAAAGGATTCTAAAGATCCCAGTAAAATATTGATAGAAATTGAGAAGTAACAAATTTTTGATATGATCAAAATGTAATTTTAAACGACATAAAATTCACTTATAGTAGTTGGTATTTCAGAAATAATTGTGGAGATGTTTGCACAGCACATAACACAGGATTAATTATGACTAATGTATTGTCAAGTTACTCTTAAATCAATTCATGTGTAAATATAAAATTAAATGAGAAGTACAATGCAAAGTATAATTAAATGAAAGCAATATTACTTTGGCATTTCACTAAGCATACGAAGTTTTCCATCAGGCAAATGATCGCTTCTGTATAGTAACACATGTTTCCCATTCTCTCGAAATACATATTTCAAAAAGAGTCTCTTCGTAGAATTCATTTGATTAGTAACACCAATGAGTGTATGACGACTGAAAAAAAAATCAAGTTACATTCCTGCAAAATGCATGAACTATACATATAAATTACCTAGCCAACTTTCATGTACTAATTTTAAGATTAAAGATACCAGAATTATATAATAAATATGTAATTCTATTAAAATTACTATGCCTAAATTTGTTCTATTTATTAGTAATAAAAAATTCAAAATTTACAATATACAAATTTAAGACCCCCTCAAAATGTTTCTTACAAATGATATGTACAAAGTCATTTTACTCTATGTAATAATCCTTGATTATTTTGCTAGTTGCACCTTTGTATTTTCACTTTGAAAATTAGACAGACAAAAAAATAATAAGAAGAAAAATAAGATATGTATAACCAAATTTAACTGATAACAAAAAACCATTTTTGTATCACATAAGTTCTCAATGTTTATTAATCCCTCACAAACCCTTTTTCTTGTCAAAATGTATCTTTAAAGTGGTTAAGATTCAACAACTAAAACACTAATTTCTTTCTGTGGGATATTAAAAAAAAAAGGACACGGAGATTATCGTTTGAAATAACCAAATGCTATGAACGATATTTTGTTTCCTTAAAATATAAATATTAAGTCACATCAAGATTCTTCATAAATTATACCTATAGTGTGAAGCATGGGTTACAATGCTTGTTACGTCCTATGCGTGAGCGACCGTATGCGGGAGCATCAGGGAGCTAGCATAGGTGTTGAGATCAAAGATCACGTAAAAGGTATTGGGTTCTTGCCACTTTAAGGTGCTAAAGCACGCCTATTTGCGTTTATGTCACTTGGTCGATGGTTAAGATGAGGATCACAGACAGGTACTAAATATATTGATTTGGAAAACTCACTCGTTCTACGGGAGTTTAGTTGAAGCTACTGGTAAAGGGTTTATCAGGATTGAGGAGCTAATAGGTTCAGGTCTCGAAATTAAGAGAAAAAGGTATAGTTTAACTAAATATAATAAAACAATAGATTAGAATACATGTAGCCGTTACAGTAAGATGTAGGAGAGAGTATGTTAATCTACTAACATAGCGAAATTCTAATACAATGGATGTGTGATCGTCAACTTATGTAGTATGGGTTACAAAGATAGATATATATAT